GTACCACAGTACTCCAATTAGGTATTCTTTATTTTTTTATATTCGCTCTTTCCCTATTTTTTCTTCCCTTGCATACCAGTAATTTTTGTTTCACTTTTATTTATTTTCATATAATACTGTTTTGTCAATACCGCGTTAATTTTATTAAAGCTTATCTCTAACTCCTCCTTGCAAGATGCTAATACTTTGATATTTCTAATCCCGAACACTAAAATTACAACACAATCCACCAGCAATAACATTACTTAATCGCATTCTCCGAAAAGCTGACGTCTTTTGCCACATATCACGTATGCTTATCGCGTCTGTTTTTGCGGCTCGTTGACCAATGACACCCCCAGTTAATCTTTAATCCTTTTTCCCTCAAAAGGCAGGTTAATGTAGCTACACGGTCTCGTAGTGATTATGCGACAATAACGGACTTAGGTCTTGTTAATTAAGAGACGGCCGGGCCGTGCCGGACTGCAGGCAATGGATTGCCACCGCACGTGTGAATAATTAACCGACCAAACAAAACGAGAGTCGGGGTTTTGGTTGCGTGGTTGACCACCACGCGATATGCTTATTAAAATGTCATAACGACGACGGCGGTGGCGACGTGTTTCAGGTGGCGTACAACTCCTCGTACGGAGGCCAGCAGCGGATGGGAGGAAGCCCGCGAGCTGCCGCCAGTCCCCACTTGTCCTCCGCCAGTCCCCAGGTGCCCAGCCCACAAGGCCAAACGCTAGACCTCAGCGTCAGTCGACTGTCCCACAGGTCAGTATTAGCTTAACCACGTCCGTGTACATTTGTCTACATTATTTATCGCGAACCGCGCCCCGTTTGTAACTTCGCCACAATCGCGGTAAATTATTTTACAAATTTAATCACTTACTCTAATAGTAATACAGCTATCTACAAAAAATTAACCCCCACCAGGATATCATTCAGGTTGTTCGTTTATTTATTAATGTTGTTGGGGTCTAAATTGATGCAGATAAAAAAAAAGATTTTGTTCGCCGAATGCGTTGGTTGGTTTTTTTTTTCTAAATTTTACTGGACTCGCCCGAAATGGTGTCGTGGAGAGATGGGCGAATCTGAAAATCCAGCCAGATCTTCTTCTTTTACAGTAGCGGTACTAGTCCATCTCGATATCATAACGGTCACGGCGAGCCGGTACCGGTACAACAGGGTTTCGTAGGACCGCGGGGCGAACAAACAGAACCCGTCGACTTCAGCGCCGCTAATGAACCGGTTAATTTCAGCGGAGTCCGTCCAGTTGCCACCTTTGCTGCTGGACCAGTTATCGGACCGCCACCCGGATCCGGTTACAGCAGGGAATCCACGCCAGACAGTGGAGGATCTCACTACATGGACCCTTACAGAGACCCTTCCGGTAAACATTAAAAATAACTACCTTTAGTTGGAACCATCAAAATTGGCAAAGTCCACAATAAATTATCTGTGGAAAGGGACGTATCTTCTGTCTTGTTCCCACTTGGGACTCTAGTCATTTGCTACGTTTTGAACACACCCTTGTTAAGTTAGGAAATGCTTCATAAGAAGCACAGACAAAGTGAAAAGAGATAACCAAATAATAGTAAGCGGTGCAGCTGTTAGGGGTTGTTTAGGTAAGGAAAAAGTAAGGATCGGATTTATAACTGCCTGACTGAGATTATATCTTTAAACAAACGTCTTTGCTTCCCTAAATTCCTGAGAACGTTGAACTTTCTTTAAAGTCCTATGCTGACAACATACTCAAATTCTACTTGTCTGCATCTCTATCTGTTACATATCAATTGATGTAATGTTATTCCCTTTTCTTTATTAGTGTCCGCCCGCTGCAATTCCTACCTGACATCTCTTTTCTATGTTTACGATATTCCCTACCTACAACGTCTGTCGTGAGTAAAAGTAAGCGTTCTGTCAACAACCGCTCTATTCTAGTTAGTAAGTTGAAAGAAGCAAGTAAATGTGACAGTTTTATTGCGGACTGTGCCAATTTTGAACGTCCTAACTATACCAGTTTGTATTTATTTACTTTCTGTTATCATCATTTTTTTTAACCATCAACCAACCGGTAAAAACTTTTTTTTCTGATATCAAACTACCTATGCCAGATCTTGAATCTGTATGTTTCTGTTTCTGCTCGTGTTTTATTAGCTGATTTACGTAATGCACTTAAAACATTCTTCTAGTATTATATCGCTACTCCAATTTTAATAATGTGCATCATTTCCACTTACAATAAGTACCTTGGAATTGACACCGTTATATAATAGAGACAGCAGGCATTTTATCCTATTCCATTATCCTTAAAATTTCCTTTAACGATTACTGTTATTGATCCTGAAGTACACACATCGAATTCTTCACTATCATCATCATTATCATAATAATTTATTCAAATGCATGTTTTTTCAGTCATCATCCTGCCTTTTCTGGGTAATTGTCACATTAATTTTCTATTGTTTCTCAGGATACGGCCCTGTTAGTCCACATCCTGGATATGGAATGACGCCTGTAACAACGGATTATCCAACGAATCCTTACACCTCGTATCCCGGAACTGGATACTCCTGTGGCGGCACTTATCCAGGAGCGGTGACCACGGGATACCCTGCTCCACCGAGTGGCTACTCACCAGGTCCATGCTACTCCATGCCTCCACCTCAACATTCGTTACCTCAACACGATAAAGTGTCAGGCAAAGACAATGGGTGAGTTTTATTTTTAATAATCTTTTACTTTTCCTCGGTCTTCGTAAAATTGGTAATTAATTATGGACAATAAACAAAGAAAATGCGCATAATTTGCCAAGCCTTTTCTATGTATCCTCCTTTTGTGGAGAAATTTGAGACATGAGGGTGGAATTTCTAATTCTTGGAAATTTTGTAGGTAGGTATTTTTTTTTTTTTTCTGTTTGAAGAAATTTTTCATATTATTTTCTCTTATTATCCTGATTATGAATGTACAAATTTTAGGTTTTCTTTGAGATGATGCTCTCCAAAACACCATGAATTTTTTATTATCTTCGTTTTATAAAACACCAACACGTATTACCTTTTTTTTTGTAAAAATATCTCAAAAATAAGAAAGGTATTTGTGGTTATAGATAAAACTCTCTAAAACANGTTAGGTTAAGTTAGGTTAGGTTAGCATAGATTGCGCTGGATTGACTTGGGTTGAATTGTATTATGTTTGAACATGTTAGATTGGTTTGTTAATCTTCTCTTTCCATGGTATCCTAATCATTCACCTGAACACAACATTTGGAACGCTTCTAACTTTTTTTTCGTCAAACACCCACCGTCCACGTGGTGCTCCAGCCATACACCTTCAACAATTTTTTTCAAATAGTCTAAGTTGCTTCTTTTAATTTTTTTACATTCGTTATTGCCAATAATAACGTATTTGAACGTTGAAATTTTCAGAGAGCAGTAAATGTCCCACTCCGGGTTGCAACGGTCAGGGACACGTCACAGGCCTCTACTCCCATCACAGGAGGTAAGCCAGTTAAATTAATATTCATTGGATAATTTTAACCGCCATGCTTTCCACAATAGTTTATCAGGATGTCCTAGAAAAGACAAAGTTACTCCCGAAAGTAAGTTTCAAACGTCTGTAAATATAAGGTCGTTGTTTTTTTGCTCCACGTTGTTCAATTGAATGCATTACCATTTAAAGCAATGATTACGGAATTGTTTATATGAGGGTCTTAACAAAATTTTTGTGACATTTTAATATTTCTTGTGCGAGGTCGTTGCTATTGTAATTCACAATATGGTTGGATGGTTAATAAACTAACCAAAACTTTTATGAAAATCATCTTTATACGATGAAATTGCTACGAATTTTCGATAATATCCATAATTTGTGAGTAAAGTGCAAACACCAAAAAAGTACGAGGGCTGATGCCTTTGTTCTTTCCCTGACCGAAATTACAAACGAAAATATAATACCTACCATCAATGTTATCCGTGTTTTGGGATTCTGAAGATGTAATTTTAGTAGATTTCCTGCAGAAAATAGCTACATTCACAAGAGCTCCTTATGCTAAATTTAACGACGATCGCTGTTTTAGGATAATATTCCTACTCAAACGTCAGTCATTGTAAAATCTACAATAGATTAGGCGGGCCTCGAATTAGTTGAGCATCCGCCATATTAGCCAAGTTTGGCTCCTAGCGATTACCGATTGTTACCAAAACTTAAAGTGTCCTTGCATGATAAATGACGATTTTCGTCATTAATAATGTGATGGTATGTGCGTTAAATCAATCTTTTTTCCGAGAAGCATTAGAAATGATAGAACATCGATGCTAAAAAAGTTTTGACCTTAATGGACCCTATGTTGGAAAGTAAATTTGTTACATTCGATAGGTCAGGAGTGGAGTAAAGGCATCAGCCCTCGTATACAAACTAATAGTCGGAGTTAACCAGTTGTTTGTTATGACCCTTCTATACACTATGACTGATAAGTATTCAGGAAAAATTAAGGGAGAAGATACCGATGACGCGATTCGCGTGATGCGGCCAGCGCATTCCCGTTCCAGCGTCCATTGTGAATACATTGGTTTTTGTTTGATACATTTTTACTAATCAGTACGTACAATTGACTTGTCTACGTATCAGCTATTGCGAAGGTCACGAATAGGTATGTGTGTTTCGACAGTTGGCGCTTGCAATAACGAGTGGCGATAAGATAACGCGGCTGAAAAACTGTTATAAATCTCAATCATTGACGGCTCGTTAATTGGGGTACTTTTTGTACATATCTTTTACGTCCCCTACGTTGTGGTGCTACCACGATATAGGCTCTACAGTGCCTCCAGATGTTAACATTCCGAAATACTGATCAGACATAGTGTATCTATGCATCTTGCATTGGCCTCTATTCTATGCGTATGCATCATGCTTGTTTTCATTTTTTTTTGCGGGGTAGAGAGCGTTTTGATTTGTTTCTGTTGCGCTAGCCCATAATCATTTCTTTTTTGAAACTAAACAGTCTCGTTTCCATTTTGTCCGCTTTTATCCTGGATAGTTTCAAAAAACGAAATCGTAATAGTAAGCTACTTAGCGACCTCTGCTCCCTATTTTTAAGCTTACAGTTGACCGTTTCAGTATCACGTATGTTGAGTATAATAATAGCTTAACCCCTCCTCGAAAAAATATATATATATATATATGTATGTAGGTGCATATATTAAATGTACACATGCACTTACTCACTCTGCCTCTCTCTCTCTCTACCCACGTGATGCGTAAGTTACATAATATACTTAATTTTGTTACATGTCACCCTTCGTCCTCTCTCTTTCTCTCTTCAAAAAATGAGTAGTTATTATTATACTCAATAATGCTGATCCTGTTAACGTTTATATATAGTCCTGGCAATGCATGAAACAATCCTGAAATGTCCCACGCCTGGATGCAACGGCCGTGGACATGTTAGCTCGAATCGAAACACGCACAGGAGCCTGTCAGGTTGTCCTATTGCAGCAGCCAGCAAACAGGCTGCACGGGAACAGAAATATCATGCGTCACTACAACACAGAATTCGATCGTCGCCGAATTCGTCGCTTGGTAAGTGGTCGTGTTCGTTTGTTCGTGGAGCTTTCTGGTTTTCTTTCTTTTTTGTTTTTAATTCATCACGGCATGCCCGATTGTTAGTGTAAGACTGTTTGGAATGCTTTTCGTCGAAAAATTGTTACAAGTTGTTGGCACTTTGTAGTGAACTGCCAAGGCGACTTCGCCCAATCGGGATTCGAGAGTAAACAAAATCCCGTTTCCGCAAACGTTGACATAAAGCCCTCTTATCTGGCTTCTTACGAAACAGCAAGCGGAAGTCAAAGCATTTCGTGTAACAACACCAAAACGGACTTCGGCTCTTATTATTCGAAACTCCAAGAGGGTAAAAGTGATACCGGAATGAAGATTCCCAAATCAGAATCCGTCACCGCAAACTGCTGCAGCATGCCAGGAAGAAATGACCTTCTAATACCAAAAACGGAAACTTCAAACTCCTGCGCATCTCCATCGGGAATTCGATCCTACGATCCCTACACGAACCAAGATTCGAATTCCTCTTCAATGTCTGGAATGGAAAATGTTACCAGTACTCGCGGCCATCATCATTCAATGCAACCGCCATCTTTGCACCATCAAAATCCGCATTCGTCTAGCTATAGCCTCGATGAAACACGTCAGTTACCTCATCGGTCACCTTATCAACAGTCGCCCATGTCTGGCGATGAACTGTACAGATCTGACCATTCCATGAGATACACTGAAATCGGCGATTCCATAAGCGGTGGAATAGCAAGGCCCACGGTGACGTACCCAAGTGAGATGGGATCACGACCATACGACAGTTCCCTCACAAGCCACCGTCCGTACGATCCAGGGACGGCATTTGAAAGGTACGATTCGTCGAACCAATGTAACACTCTGCAACAGCCCATGCCGCAAAGAGCTCAAGGAATTTACGGCTACGGATCGATAGAAAACCAACAAGAGCATAGGTACCAGCAAGAAACTGGCACTTCTCTGTCTCTGGGTGGTTCCGGTGCGGTTATGAAAACGGAAGACCAAGAACCCACGCAACCTCTGTATCCAAGGTAGATAGCGATAATGTGGTAACGACGGTACGGTTTGGTATTTGGAACTTTTTGTTGTTGCAGACCAATGTACCAGTACGACGCATCTGCAGGTCCCATTCCGATGGGGTTTTCCGCTATTAATTTGTCAGTAAAGTGCGTTACGACAGCCCAGAGTCAACTCAAAGGCGGAGGACCTCACACGTCTCCAGGAGGAACCGTCATGGACTTGTCCACATCCAGCGTTACCACCAGCAGTTCTCAGGTAGGTGGTTTTTGATCGTGGTCGTTTCCAAGATTCTATTTTTGCGATGACGAGTAAAAACGTGACAGAACAAATACTTGAAAACTGGAAAGACAATGAGTAAGAAAGGAAAAAACAGCTTCCTTCAGTATCTTTACTCATATGTATAAATGAAAAGGTAGATATAAAATTGGCCCTCTCTTGGTGAGCAGTGGGGTGGTAATGAAAGCACTCTGCTGTAAAGGCAGAGGTAAAATAGAAAAATATTGATTTCTGTTGTATAGGGTTGTTCGGAATGTCTTTTCGTTTTTTTTTTGTGGAAATGAAAGACAGTTTTCGTATAATAAACAAATACTTTATTAAATTATATATTGACCGTTCTGGTCCAACACCTTTTGCCATCTTTCTGGTAGTAGCATAATTCCACGCTCATAAAATTTTTGGTCTTTGCTGGCAAAAAACTGATC